AAACAACAACAACAACAACAACAACAACAACAACAATTGACTGAGGCAAGTGCCTCGATTTGCCTGTTACCGGGTACAGCCCTGCTTGCTAGCAAGTGCAACACACCAACAAAATAAACATGCGTTGCAGCAATAATATTATTCTTATATATGGTAACTGATGATTTACAGAGATAACAATCTGCTAACCTGGCTTCCTCTGGTGTACTCAATATCTACTGTGATAGGGGCAGAGTATGTCATATCTCTCAAGCGGCACTGAAATACAAATATAACAAGCAAACAAGGTAAATTCGTCCTGGCTGTAGTGTGGGCATTTTAGCTGGACAAGTACTGAACAATTTTGTTTGTGTATCTTGAAGTCACAAAACATACAGGGTCAGTATTACAGTCACTTTGTCAGTTTCAAAACAGAGAAAGGCAAAGCAAATCTACAAATGTGACTCTCTTTAATTACCAAAGCTGTGACCAAGAAAAACCACATACTATGTAAACTGCACCTAGTATAATTTTGCAAAGATTTCTGTGACAACATCCCATTGAAACCCCTCAGTTACATGGACACATGTTACAGCAACATTCCACGAGAGGAAATTCAGACTGGAACAGAACTTCAGTCTCAACCCTATTTCCAAATGGTGGTGCTTACTCAAAATATACATGTACCTGCATTACTTGTACATGTTCTAGGAATTGTGTGAGTATTAGAAAAAAATCCTACATGGCTATGGAATCAACAGGCCATCATATAAAACTTAATATTACATAGATTTAGCCAAGCCTAAAAGTGGAGCTCATGATTGCAATAATTAACCATAGAGGAAAAAGAGGATTTGTTTTTCTTGGATCAGAAACTCAAAAAATGATCAATTGTGAGGATGTAATCATTCAGTGTCTGGTTGCACTATTTTTTCAGTTAAATTTTAACAAACTATACCGAATAAGCGTAACCAAAATTGTAGAAATTACCTAGACAACCAAGCCTTGAATTACTACTGGACTGATACATGTAATACGATCTTCATTTTACGTATTTGCCCACTCAACCATCTCAGTCATGTACGTTGTCCTTCTGAACAAAATTCCACAGTTTTCTACAGTGTAGTTTGCAAAAAGTCTGCGTTGCAAAAACAAGAAAACGTTTTTTACACAAATAAACCACACGAAACACCTTAAACTTGCCTCATGAGGTGAGATGGGTTTTGTGATATTGAATGACTCTTCCACATCAGGACTGCCAACATAGATGTTCAGGTATTTTAGATACCACACTGGATCAGCATCTGTAGTAATTTTTTCGTTTGCTTTAACAATCTTTTTTATCTAAAAAAAAATCAAATCAAGAAATTATGGAATAAAAATTTCTATCAATACATGTCTTAACAAAACAAAGGTCCTCAAATGGAGAGACAGCATGTACATGTAGTTTCACTGACTAGAAACTGTTGACGACACCAAGGTGTTTATGATCTTACCTCACCTCTCTTAGGTGGGATACTAGTCCATTGCCCGTGTATGATATTTCCAGACTGCAGACTGCATACTGCAGACTACATTTGGGCCAAAGTAGCATTCTGGTTAGCCTGAATATCACCCAGGTTTGCCTGTTTACGGTTAGCTCTCAGTAATGGAAATGAGAATACTTGAGAATACAATGAGTTAATAAGGCTGCATTCTACGGTCTGCAGTCTGGACAGAGATAGACACTGAGAGTACATGTCAAGTGTCTTGTACAAGGAATTCAAACTGGGGCATAATCCTGGAATCCTCAATCCCGGGTCTAGTGTCTTAACCTTAACAAACAAATCCAGTACTTACATCCACATTTATGAAGTAGTTAAATGAGTCTATATGCTGCTTGACAAGTCCCTTAACCTGCAAAATACATCACCACGGATTAACAATCTCTTAAAGAATACAAGGAAAGCTCATCAACAGCACCATTCAGTGATCAGACTTGGATAAGTCTTCAATATACTTGTAAATGTACAGTCATGTTAGAACTACTTTTGTTTAGATAGTAAAAGCCCATAAGGGAACCTCCTAGTTAACTACATGCAAACAGTCAAACAATCATTGCCTGGTGTGATATTTGGGCTGCATAAGCAAGCAATACATACATGTACATGTATATAGCTGTTTTTGAACTTGCAGTTGATTAAAGTAAACTCCATAGCGAGTTTGTGAAGCTGACTCTTCCAGCAGAGCAAACCCTAATGCTCAAAATGCCAGCTTCACAAACTCTGCACTGCAGTTAATTTACCCTCATTAACTTCAAGTTGATAAATTAAAAGAGCTCTGTGTTAAATTGTCTAAACTTGGATTACAATGACTGTTACAGTACATACGTACCTTTAAAAAAGCTGGTAATAGTTTCCATTTGTCCTAAACATCAAAAAAGAGTTAAAACCGTGAAAAATTGACTTTTACAAAATCAACAAAAAAATCCCTTCATTCATACACACAAAATGGTTACACTAACCAAAAAACAGAAACATGATTTAAATGACGATGATATATTTCTTGATACAGTAGGTATCAGACAGAAATTACAGCCTTATTTGCAGTTCACAATTTCTGTAGGATATTCATTTGACATTGAAGGGAAAGAGGAGAAAATTTCCAAAGTAGAAAGGGTTGCTCTCACCAAACAGATCTCCTCAAGACCTGTGTGGTGTCCAAATTTCATACGAACTGGACAAACATTGAGCATAAAATGGCATCTTGTTTACAAAAATGTTATAAACATCTTTTCTTTTCATTTCTTCTACTTCCCATATATGTCCTTAAAAATATACCAATTAATTAAAGAAGACAATCATACTGCAACAGCTTTGATTGGCTTCGACACATCTTCCAAGTTGTCAGTAATTTTCCCCAGTGTTTCAAATTCCATTGCTACCATTCCTCTACTACTGCACTGTCATTTCATCATCAGAACCAGCCGGCCTGTAAAGAAAGAAAGAGAGATTACGCATAGCATGTCAGTACCCTTCTGTATCCCCTTCACTCCATACACAGTGCTTACACCCTTTTTCCACCAATCTAAACTTCTGGCAAGACATGTTGTTCAATCTCATTCCTGTATGTATACCTGGGATCAAGGTCACCACACGTCATAGCGTCATAGCAAATATTCTTCACTTTCATCTACAACCGCAGTTCATATATGAATTATTTCATATAAACTTCACATCATTTCACTACTCACGGGAAGATATGAACTCAAT